AATGAACCAAAGAAGCGAGACCGCTAATCTGCGCGATCAACCAGGTGGATCGCAAATTTTTGCGGTCGGATAATCGCGTCGGGCACAAAAAGAGATCGTGCACGCGCGCGCGTTCGTTCGCTCTTCAGGAATGAACAACGGTACGTTGACAATACTATTTTCAAACAGAAGGAAAAGAAAAAATTCGAATTCAAAACCTTTATTTCTACGCTTTTGTTATATTTTTCATTAACAGTTTTTTGTAAATTTATATAGTAACAATAAAAAGAGGATACAGAAGAATTTTAAACAAAATTATTTTCTTAGCCATTTTTTTTCAACCCCTCTTTGTTGAGAGTTACAAGAAATGTGGTTTACAAGGACAAGTGTTGAGGCTTTTGTAACCGCAGCTTTTCCGCAGTAATTGCGCGTATAAAATTGCATAAAATCCACGTGCTGTTCGCAGACGGACGACGTAACAGCATGTCGGCTATGTGTCTCTTCTGAAACCTGCAAGGATAACCGAGCAATGTCGAGCAGCCTGACCAAGGACCTTTGGAAGCGGCTACGCGAACAGACAGGCTTAAATATCACGTCCCCTGGAAATAACATTACCTGTTGATCTATATTATAGAACTACGTACAAGAGGAATATTAGACGTTTGTGTTTGTGTAAACATCATGTTAACAAATGAAAAAAATCTTTCTTTATTTTAATAAAAAATTGTAATATTATACTAGTTTATTATAAAGTAATTAAATATTTATGTACAAATAAACAGTTTTATTTTAAGTTAATAGCGTAATTGTGTGCATGGATGTGTGTGGGAAAGAGAGAAATTCGAGTAAAATAACGGAGTATCGTGCGTGTTACCAACTGCCGGAAAATTCTTCTCTCTTACGCAGCCTAGAATGCAAATTTATATCCACGCATCATTACCATGCAAGAGCCGAAGCACGAAATATATCATTAATGGGGGAGGAGACGGGACTTTTTAATGTCGCTAAAAGCCGATTATATATGTCGCCGGAATAGAGATGCGTTTTCGACGAGGGAACGCATTTTCCCATTTGCAGTGTGTTTTATATTACAAGCATATTCCTTTCTCAAAGAAAACTACACAGAAACATCGTGGATGACAACATCGCGGTGTAATAAAAATTCGTTGTTTCCATAATCGCGTAGAATATATTCGCAAAAAGAATTTCTCGCGTGCGAACGTATTTCCGAGGCAGCACGTCGCGCCAATCGGTTTCTTCGTCGTGTTTGCGAAAGCCTGCTTGAATATTAACCAATTGGGTAAGGGATCCGAGAATAATCCTGTGTTTCCACTTCCTGCGTAGAATCCTAATCGGTCTGCTATATTCTGTTCCATCCAGGGGCAAATTAATCCTTCTCTAAGTAATGAAACACGCACGCTCGTTACTTCGTTGTAATTACATGTAAAAAGATAGTTTTTTCTTTGCCGTGTTTAATTTCTTTATAAATTCAGATATATAAGTAAAGATGTGCTTTGTATACTTATACATACAATCCTCTTCCACATTTAAAATACAAATCAAAGATAAAAAATTTCAAGAAATCTCGAGTGTTTGAAATTATAGCGGAAGAGAAAAGTCGCGCGTTTTAATCTTCAGTAAGAAATACCGCAATGATCGCCGCACGCGCTTACACAAACACAAGCAGCTTGTGCACGTAACTGAAATTCGCCAAAAATGCAGTTTCGCAACTGCGGCATTGCGACGACGATATGTAAGTTTTTCGATAAGAACGAGCGCGCGCCGTTCGCGTCTCTTTTGCGAAAGACTGTCCGACCGGGCACGTTTCTCTGATCGATTTTTATCAACTTCTCGCACTTCGCAAACTGGATCGCATGTTAAGCGACCGTCCCCAGACGTGTTCCATTGCACTTTCTCCGCAGCTTAGTTGCGGTTGTTTCGGTAACACGCCCGCGTAGTATAATTTACATGTTCCATAATCATGCTACAATTATCTGCAACCGATTGTCGCAACGCAAAACTCGAGAACGCGTTTCTGTGCGAAAATAGAGAGAAATCATTTGTAGACACATGTGTGGCGATAAAAAAAAACTAGCTACTCAATTACAAACAACATCATGAATTTTCCTTGTATCATTAAAATCATCGAGATAAATTAGATAAATACTTATGCGTACACGCAATTTGACCATCATCAACGAAACAGGAAAAAAATCACATCTTCTGACATAGTCTATTTATAGCACACAAAACGATATAAAAGATCTTTATGAATAGTGTTTTTATTTATCATATTAGACATGTCATACAAGCGACAGTGTTATCACTTCCTGGATGTGACGTAAAACCTATAAATTCAAATCTTTTAAAAAACTAATGTGTACGTCACATTTACATGCATGTTATGTGTACGAATATTATACGTACAATTCATTCGTACACGAAACACAATTGTATCGAGACACTTATTGTTAGGAAGATTCAACAGACTAAATCCTTGAATAACAAGCTTAAATTAATTACTAAATTAACGCAATGCTAATAACGCTATTGTATACAGTATTAGCTTTGTTAATAGACGCGCGTTGCACTCACGTGCATCGCTTTAACGATGTTGATTTCATAAGTAAATACTTGACAAAGTTATACACATATATATTTTAATTGACATATTATATCTCACATAAACACGTGACTATGTGTGCATGACTTCGATCAATTATAGATTGATATTATATAAACGTTCTGATTAACTTATTTATCTAATTAATTTAAGGATCGATTCAAATTCAGTTGCGTATTTTCTTGACGCTCGTGTTAAAATTGTACGCTTGCGTATATATGAAGAGTGTTTTCAAAATCTTTTTTTTACATCGTAATGTTTCCCTTATTACTATATAAAACAATAAACAACGAGAATTTTATTTTTCAAGAAATACAAATAATAGTTAAAATTTTATCAAAATTGAGTGAGAAATTCATCTTTTTTTAATTCCGTATCTTCTCTAAAAACCATAGTCTTCACATTTTTGTGGATTTTAACTGTTTATTGTATCATCGCGTTACAATGTATGTTCTCGATTATATTCATATTATTCCTAGAACAGTATGAATTCCTTCTGATATATGCTACTGCGATGGTTCGAACACTTTCGCTTTCATTGCGTACCGCGCGGAGCTGGTCGTCGAGAAACCGATCGCGTCGCTCGCGTAATCAGGGCCAATAATCAGCTGCCGCTTAACAGAACTCTCCATTCACGAGATGGTAACTCGATCCGTCGTCGCGCTCGCGGCACGCTGGACCTGGCGCACCTTGGCCGTCGACCAATGGGCCACAACGGCGTCCGGGCCATGTGACTTCGCGGATCCAGCGAGCACGCGCACTCCGGAGCAGTGTCGCACGCTCTCGCCGCGCCGCTTCGGCACGTGCGCCCGCGATTCCGCGGCTTCCCTTGCTGCTCAGTATCATTCGCGCGACCGATAAGTGTTGCGAACTCGCTCACGCGTATTCACGTAGATCGCAAGCTGCAGAGAACGTCGTCGACGAGCAAAAGAGAAGAAAAGGAATAATAGTATTATTACAAGAAAGAGAGATATCGGTAAGTAAATTGGCGAAAATTAGCTTCGGATCTCTTTGATCGGCGGACTCGACGATCTTGCCATCCGCGTAGGCGTTTAATTCGCCGCTACATATACGGAAGGCGATCCGTACGCGTTTGAGACCACGTTCGCGCGATGACCACGTGCGCTCGGAATGCAAGTCGCGTTGCTGTCCGGCTAATGCGATCACGGCTAACGGTATTTCCGCGAGAGATACGCGGAGAACGACGAGCAGTAAACAACGACGAAAGGTTTTTTTGTTTGGGGAAACCAGCGCGCAACCAGTTCGCGTTATCAGAGATAAATTGAACTGTAGCAGATTTCTTATCTCTCTTGTTAGTTTTAGACGTTAGAACAAAATACACGGTCGTTAAAGTGAAGTGAAGCCGCCGTTGAGTATTTTCCGAGTCACATTGACTTCTGAAAACAAATGTAGCATGCCGCTAGAAAGAGCCTTCGATCGCGGCAACATATGGTCTGCAATATCTAAATTGCCACTTCATTCGCGACCTAAATAAACAATCTTTTTGCAGTCTTAATAAAATGCATCTCTCTTTGAGTGATAAGATGTCTCGGATCATAGATCAATTTTATCCGATCGTACAACTATATTTAGAAAAACCTCGAACAAGATCGCGATATAAATATCTCGAAAGTTTAATTATGTGAAATAAATATTTACATAGATATTATTGTAAAGCAATTAAATTGGATTCTTATGATTTTAAATCTTCGTGCGGGAATATCTTATTTACATGAATTTAACCTTTGGGTTTTTGTTACGGTAGGATTATACGGAATATCTAACATAGAGTAAACATAATATCGCGTCGAGCTTTGTGTTCGTCAACTGTTTCTTCGACCTCTATGTTCGATCGGTTCGACTTTGCAAACAAATATTGATCGACTCTACGAATATGAAGTTGATTTTTCTTTAACGGAAATTTATCACTTATCAGTTATCATAACTGTTTGTACTACATTATTAAGTAGATATTGCGCGATTAAAAATTTAATTTAATTGCTATTTAAAAATATTAAATATATCGCTATTTAATATTTTTGTGTATAATATTAATATTTTAGCAAATAAACATGGAACAGTACAAACTCTAATTACCAAGAAAACTGTAATTAAACAAGGAATAATAAGAATTCAATAAATAATAGAACAATGTAATTAGCAATTTAAAATACATGTGAGTTACGCTATTTTCTCACACCTTCTTTTCAACGGATTTATTATTTATTCTTCACATGTATGTAACAAAATGAATTCTTTGCCTTGAATTCTTTGCAGAGGACGGACTTGGACCTATAATAAGTTAAAACATGTGGGGCACACGTCTTTATTGCGTCTCGTTATCAGTTGCTTCGCGCAATCGTTTTCTTATATTAACAACGGAATTCGCATGCGCGCGCGCTATCTTGTCTTTTGTCGACACACGGGAGGGACGTCCACGTGGCCGCGGGAAGATCGGCGATTGTCATTTGTGTTTTTGCAATTACGAGAAGAGGAACGTCTCGACGACGATTGCTTCTTTTTCCTTGCTGCTCTCGCTTTTGATTTATGCGTGTTGCGTAATTTTCAATCGCGTGTCTATCGCAAACCGCAAACGTGACTTAAAATCGCGTACCTCTACGTGCGTTGTGTATAGGTGTAACCATATCGTATAGCGCCGAGATCGTCATATCGGAACAGAAGCGGAGAGTGTTACGCAGATCTGGGTAGGAAAACATCTCTAGCTCTTTTTTTTTCCGTCGCTTCCGTAATGCATCGTGAACGTGCTCGATCGTGTGTACAGAATGTCTTGGAAACCATCGCCGCTGGGTCTACTCTCGCTAGTTGCACGCATGTCCTTTTCTCTCCTCTTTGCGTAATCCTCATGCTTCACTTTAATCATTATAACATGTTAAAATATAAATGTATACATAATATATATATATATATATATATATATATATA